TTATACGTTATTCTTCATTAATGTAACTCCTTTAAATTAAATAAATAATATGCGCATAGAATTTATCTCAACCATTACTTATACTAAAGGGTAAAAGAGTACTATACAAAAAAAGGAAAAAGTAATGTAAATTTTAAATAACATTTGATAATGAAAATTTGATTAGCGTTTCGAGATACTATGCACTTATTTGTCGTTACTGCCACTAGTTTGAATTGAATAAAAAATATGAGCATAAAATTGAAAGCCACTCTAATTCTGTTCATGGCTCGAAAAAGTATTAGAAAAAAAACGCAGATTAGTAGCTCTACATTTCATGTAGTGCTAAAAACATATGCATATGTGTGAGTATGTGTAAAATACAGCCTGCCGCAAAACATGTTACGCTGTTGTTCTTGGGGGATCACAGGGCCCCATGGCTATTTTATATTATAACTGGACTATGATAAGAGATATCGACTTGGTGTCTATGACGAAGTTGTAGTACTCAAGCTACTCTACAACTTTGCCCAAGTAACCAAGTCGTTATCTCTTATCAGTTTCGCGGAATACGCGAGAAACCGCGAAAAACGCGTTTTTTTCCTTATCGTTTTTTCACGGAACTGATAAGAGATAATGAAATAATGAATCAGAATAATTGTATTACTCGACCAGAACTACAACTTTGCCATAGACACCATCTCGTTATCTCTTATCAGTTCCGTGAAAAATGATAAGGAAAAAACGCGTTTTTTCGCGGTTTTCTGCCGTTTCTCGCGTATTCCGCGAAAATGATAAAAGATAACGACTTGGTAACTTCGGCAAAGTTGTAGAGCAGCTTGAGTACTACAACTTCACCACAGACATCAAGTCGTTATCTCTTATCAGTTACGCGAAAAAACGCGAAAAACGCGAGTTTTTGATAATCATTTTTCGCGAAACTGATAAGAGATAACGACTTCATGTCCATGGTGAAGTTGTAGTACTCAAGCTGCTCTACATTCATTTCTGTCGAAGAGGCAAGTCTCTTACTTCTTATCTTATTGCTTATCTCTTATCAGCTTCACTAAAACGATGTGGGAAAATTTTGCGATTTTCGCGTTTTTTCGCGTTTTTCGCGGAACTGATAAGAGATAAGCAATATTTGTTGCACCAAAATTATAGCAAACTTTGAGTATTACAACTTTGCTTCAGACACTAATTTGTTATCTCTTATCACAGTCCAGATTTCATATGAAGTATCTTGCGGGCCCTGGAGTCCCCCAAGAACAGTAATATGTTGCAAATATGAAGAACAGTCATAGTGTTAACTAAAACTTCAACATTTTGTATGGGAGGTACCCGTAAACCGATTCTTATTGGCTTTAAACTTTCGGAGGTTTCATTTTTTGGAGAAAAAATAAGATTCTGAAAGTTTCATGTTGATCGCATTTGCAGAAGTTTGGTTTTTGGCCTCAATTTTTTCCAAGAAAATTTCGACAAAAATTGAGGACAAAAAACCAAACTTCTGCAAATGCGATCAACATGAAACTTTCAGAACCTTATTTTTTCTCCAAAAAATGAAACCTTAGAAAGTTTGAAGCCAATTAGAATTGGTTTACGGGTACCTCTCATACAAAATTGTCCAAAAGTCGGTAATTTTAGTCAAAATTTTGAAAATTTTGTATGGGAGGTACCTGTAAATCGATTCCGATTGATTTCAAACTTTCAGAATCTTATTTTTCTCCCAAAAAATGAAATATCAGAAAGTTTAAAGCCAATCGGAGTCGATTTACGGGTACCTCCCATACAAAAGAGTCAATTTTTTGTGGTTTTTCTTAGGGCAAGTACCCCAGGATCAAATCGAAAATGGCTCATCCTCGAACTTAAACTAAGTTTATTGGATACAAAACTTTTGGGACTTTCAGATTTGGATTATCTTAATTATTTTTTGAGTTATCGTGTTTACAAACAGCTACGACGACGACAAGGACGACGACGACGACGACGGCACACGAACGGAAAAGTGTCTCAAAAAGTGGTTTTCTACGCGTTTCATGAGTTTTTATGATGATCTAAACCAATTTTGCGAAAAAAGTTTTCGGGACCAATTCCTATACTTTCCCTTGACACGTTGTGTACGGAAAAGTAAAAGCCCCTCCGGTTTTTCGTTCGAGTCCAAGTTTTCAATTAATTTATTTTAAATTGAAAAACAAGAACCAAGAATGAATCCATATGTGCGGAAACAAATGTTGTCTTTTGCAACAACAATAGCAACCAGAACAAAAACGAAGGATAAAACAATAGGCCCGTGACGCGCAAGAATAAGTTGTGCAGAAAGTTTTAGCTGTAAGCATAAATTCAAGTCATAAGCTTTCTACGGCTGAGAATTGAATAATTTATTCCGGCATTTATGTACATTGGTCGGACTTGTTGATTAACCACTTTCGTTGATCTTGTTTATTTTTCGACTGAACGATTCTTTAAAGCGCTTAAAAATCATTATGTTGACGCATTCGCAATAATTAACACACAGTCCCACAAACACCCCATTGGTACTGTCGCCAATAGCAAGACACACAATCCAGGCACTAGCTTATGGCACCCAAAGCCGTTTTTAGCCTGAATTTGACACACTCGCCCCACACAGAGTGCAAACGTGGGGAGTGTGTGTGTACGTGAGAGAGAGAGAAACATCGACCCAAACATTCTTTTCGGTTTTGGCTTCATTGAGGCTAAACGCCGTACAGTGCACAAAAGCCATTGCCTCTATAGTTCAAACGCGTAATGTGTATGTGCGAGTAATACGTATATATTAGAAGTGAGAACTGTCAAAAATAAATGCGAATGAGTACCATACACAAAATGACACACAAAGACACACATTCTAAAAGTCTTAACGAACTTGAATCCCTATTCTTATCCCATTTCTTCCGATTATAGTCACTTTTACATGACTTGAGCACAGATTCGAACACAACCGAACTTTGAAGTAAGTTCATATGAAGTTTTAATCTCGATTTCGTATAGAATTTTTGCGATACATGTTAAACAAATACAGAAAACAATTTGACCGGCTATATTGCTTGAACAACAGCTCTAAAACTGTGATCAAATCAGCAATTTAGCACCTTTGCCGATGACAATTTTCCATTGTAACGTCAGACTCTTGTCGTTAGCTACTTTTTTTCTCTCATGCATACGCTATACTTAATCCGAACATTCAATTTGTATTTGTTTTTCAATTCACTTGTATCCACGTCGACAATTTTCGGCTATTAACAGCTTGAAAGAAGAAATGAGAACAAGCAAGAGAAGAGAGAAAAAAAAATTCCTATCAAGTTCCTGTCGAAAGGATTCATGAATGAAAAAGGACGGTCGTGTTTCGCAAACCTTTTGAAATTGAAAATTGCACGACTCAAACGTCTCCATCCAAATGAAATATTCAATTGACACCTGAACCATATTTAATTTTGTTGTTGCACCTTATAATATTACTTCATTTTTGTGCCAGATGTTGAAATCAGACAGAAGACGAGAGTGAAATAACGAGGAACAGCATGATCACCTCGAAAAATGAGCACCCAGCATTAAGTAATAAAAAAAACGCATTTTATTCGACATTTTTTTTTCTTTGTTTCTTTTTTTATAATTAAATTGCTTTTATTGGATCATAAACACTTTGAATGATGCAACATATTTTTTGACATGTCACTTGATTATATCAAGTCATATTTTGTTTTTGTTTTTGCCAAACTTTTGTTTAGTGCACAATTTTACGTCGGCCAATTATATTGATAAGTAGAACAATAGGTGTTGTTGATATGACAACGGTCGTAAGACTGTTTATTTACATGTATACGTTACATAGATAGTACACTTGCGTTAAGCATGCGTTCATGCTTGCGTTACAATATTCAATTTTCCCCTTGTGCCGTGCATTTACACATCGATTACAATCGTAATCTTACCGGATTATATTTAAGAAAACCCGAAAAGTTATACGGAAGCGCTAAGAACATTGAAATATATGCATATAAGATATAAAATGGAGTTATATGTTGTGTAAATGCTCAGTCACTCATTATATGGAATACATATAATCTGCTTGTGAGCATAGCATCAAACATGTGTACGTTATAAATGTTGTTTAGTGGTTGATTGGTAACTTAATAGAGACAGTTTTCGTTTCTTGATAAAGTTCCATGCCCTCTTCGCCACACTCACGTCCCAAACCGGATTGTTTGTAACCTCCGAACTGAAAATGTTGTGCAAAATTGAAGGAAAAAATAAACACGAAAACGGAACGACCGAAATTGAAAGCGAAAATAATGAATACGAACCGGTGTTTGAGGCGTAATGGCTGAAGAGACCGGCAAGAAAGAAAAAAAAAACCATGTTCATGTTAGATCAACGCAATTTTAAAGATTGTGTGTTAAAATACCTAAGAAACAGTTCACCCACACGGAACCAGCTTCGACGGCATTCGAAAAGATCAACGCATTTTCCAAATTGTGTGTTAAAATACCGGCAGCAAGTCCGTATGTCGTGGCGTTGGCACGTTCGATAGCCTCATCCAATGTTTTGAATTTCAAAATGGATTGCACCGGACCGAAAATCTATTGAATAGTAAATGAAATGAAAAACGTATACAAATTGAATTAATCGGATGTTATTTACCCCCAAAAGGCATATTTATTTAATGACATGGGTTAAAAATGGACTTTCTCATACCTCTTCTTTGGCAATGAACATGTTATCTGTGACGTCTGAGAAAACCGTAGGTTCGATGAAGTATCCACAATTTCCGATACGGTTTCCACCGACCTGCAATTTAGCACCTTCTTTCTTGCCGCTTTCGATATAACTTAAAACTTTGGTAAAGCTTTCATCGTCAACTTGTGGACCTAGAATGATATTATGACAATGTGTTTTTAATGCGTCAATTTCGGAAGGGAAAGAGATATAGGTGAATGTATGCTCGGCGATTTTCTCATTAATGACTGTGCAAAATGGGAGAAAAACTCTGTAACAAACAAACCTTGTTGTACCGATGCATCGAACGGACTTCCAACTTTGCGTTCGCGTGCCAATCGCGTTGATTCGGCAACGAAAGCATCGAAAATTTTCTCGTGCACGAATGTACGTGTACCAGCGCTGTTTAGAAGGAGTAGAAGAAAATGAACCAAAAACATTAACAATATGAGTTAGATGCGTACGTGTGTGGGAAGTCGGCAGATTGCCTTCTTAATTAATTATTTTGTCCATGTCGAAATTTGATTTTATTCGTCGTTCTCGCAGAAGAACGAAGAGATTTTGTGTGTGTGCGCCAGCTTTTCGGCTGATTCTTTCCTTTGATTCTGAGTGTAAAAGGTTTGTCGCGCGTCAAAATTAAGCGGAAAAGTGGCTTTTCGAACGTCAAAGTGTCGAGTCAGAAGAAAAAAACATGTGAACTGTGCGCGAATGTCGGCAAAAAGAACAAGAAGAAAGAGTATTTAATTTCACATACCAACAGCATTGACCATGATTTTCAAAGCATGCTTCGTGTGCGATTTTCGCTGCTTCTGAAATTTCCACGTCATCCATGACGACCAGCGGACTCTTACCTAACGGGCAAACATAGCAAACATAAATGAAATTCCGTTCAGAAATAAATCAAATCAAATCAAATGAAATGATTTGTTTGTCTCGACACTGTCTCTTTTTCTCTCTCACTCTTACGTTCGTTTACGTACCACCCAATTCCAAGGAAACTTTCTTCAAATTGGAGTCAGCGGCTGCTTTGGCAATGATGCGACCCACTTCAGTCGAACCGGTAAATGCAACCTTGGTGATTTCTGGATGAGAGGTAATCGCACCGCCAGCAGTCGGTCCATAACCATTAACCACATTCAATACACCTGCGGGGATTCCAGCCTCAACCGCAAGATTGCAAGCGTGTAATGCAGACAATGGGGTTTGTTCGGCTGTACGGATAATGTACCATAATTTAAGCAATGACATTTTCAATGCTTTAACAACAACTCCATCAATACAAACCTGGTTTTAAAACACTGACGCAGCCTGTTGCCAAAACCGGTGCCCATTTCCAAGCTATAAGGATATGATTGCAAAACATTAAATTTAATTTCACTTGGAATTTTATTTTTGATGACTTATTCATGAGTCGAATGTCTTACAAAGCATGAGCAATCAAGAAAATATACGTACCTAGCATAAGCAACGGATAATTCCATGGGATAATTTGTCCCACAATTCCGACTGTAAAAAATTAAATCCATTGAACTAATGCTTAAGTTAATTAATAAATAAATCATAATTAATATATTTTTATAAAAACCTGGTTCTTTGCGTGTGTATGCAAAATTGCCGCCATCCACTGGGACTGTTTTGCCGCAGGCTTTGTCACACCAGCCGGCGAAGTATCGGAATGTTGCAACACAACCATACACATCAAAGATAGCTTTTTGGAATGGTTTGCCATTATCTAATGCTTCCAAATTGGCTAGGATGTTGATATCACGCTCGAACAAATCGGCCAATCTATCGGCAGCGAAAGGACATTGACGAATAAACGAATTATTTTAACACAATTTTTAGTGACAGACAGATTATCAAACTTACTTCCATAAAAGTTTTCCTCTGGCAGACGCATCCAATTTACGATACTCTGAACCTCTTTTAAAGGCTTCTTTGGCCGCCGCAACAGCAAAATCAATATCAGCCTAAATACAGAGATGAAGAGACAGTGGGAAACGATGAAAGGAAATAAGCACATGCTCAGACAAACAAACCGAACAAAATAAAAATGAATCAAATCAAATAAAATCATCATCTCCAAAGAGCCGAAAACTCATTTCATTCAATCACAAAATCACTTTGACTCATTGCGACTCAAGCCGCAAAAGATACGTGTATTCCTTTGACATCTTGATTTGCGTTGGCCGTGCCTCACCATTTATTTGAGTGGAAAATTTTTAAAACAATTTTCTAGCACTCTCTCTTGCTCTCTGTCTGTCTCATACACACACACACACACACACACACACACACATTGAACGATGCTAATTACCTTATCACCTTCGGCAACTTGAGCGATCACTTTACCCGTTGCTGGATTAATGCTTGGGAACGTCTTGCCCGACACAGCATCCACAAATTTATTATTGATGAATAGCTACATGAATGAAAGTAAAAACAAACAACACAATGGTTAGAATCACATTCTATTCCATGGCATTTTCGATTGGATAAACAATTTTTGGTATGTTTTGTGTATACAATCGGTATGTTTGAAACGAAAGGAAAACGAACAGCACGAGGCTACTTTAAATGTTTTACACGAAAAACACATTCAGCTTATTAAAATTCCGGTTCGGTATTATTCAAAATATCCCTACTGATACACACATACACAAAATCCATGATAATGTCCAGAACAAATTTATTACCTTAGTGTATTTAACTTCAACGTTTGGATTGGCCATTTTTGCTTAATTCTTTCTTTCTTTCTAAAATGAAACAACAAATACACACAATTTTCAGTAAACGTTCCAATTCAACAGCTGTTTTACTGGGGATAAAATCACATTCAGTTCAATCAATCACACAAAATGCTCGCTTAACAGTTTGTCTTTTTTTTTCACAACGTTTTGCAAATTCTATTTTTAGTCATCGCTTGTTTCTGCACATTATGTTCGGTCGAGTCTTATCAGTAATCGAAAAAATGGAATGTCATAATTTTGAATGCGTAAATTATAAAAACGAATCAAATAAAACAACACCAGCAGCAGAAAAAATACGAGCAGCAAAAACATGCAGATTCATTCCTTTTTTTCTGTGTATATTTATCCCACTGTCTAGCGAACGATTTGACTAAGCCTAAAGTTGTTGTTGCTGCTAATTCTGCTGCTGCTGCTGTTGCTATTGATTTTTTCCCTTTTTGTAGCCGGCAGCTTCAGTGATTTGTTGATATATAAAAACACATTTTTTCCTCACCCAAATGTTTTAACTGGAACCGGTGCTGTTGAAACACAAACTAAAACACACTCCGTGTGCGGATTGTTTAAATAGAAACGATATGTGCCTACTCATTCAGAGTAAATACAAAACAAATGCTAGTCGGCGGCTTGATAAAGATATCTTGTGCTCGTATTGTGTGCGATAGCGATCACACTCTGAAATGTATTGACTGTGAATGTGTGCAAATTTGCACCGCATGCCACGCTCAGAACGAAACTTCATTTTTGACACTTGTCAGAAAGAACACGAAATGAGCAACAAACCAATGATTGAAAATGTGCATGGCTGAATGGTTGACAAAGCCCGCTTTTGATCGTAATCACATTTAATCAACTATTTACTTACGTCATTTGGAACAAGTTGTAGCAGACCGAAGTGTGTTATGTCGTACTCACTTGTTGCCACATTCAAGCGATTTGCATTCCAAGTTTCTACCTTCCAGGCAATATTTACACTCATGATATTTACCTCATTTTTAGTGCCATAATTTGCAGCTGCCGTTAATGCGTTTGATTCTAAAATGAACTGTTGTGACTGTGATTTATCGTAGCATAATCAATTGCTTTTAAATTCTCGTTTGTTGATTCTATTCAATTCCCATGCACAAATACAAAATGAAACAAAACAAACACCAGATATTTTTGAGTCGAAAATATTCTCGTGAAGTGCCGGCATTTTTCTGAGGCTGTCAATTATTTTCTGACTTCGTTCCAGAACATGATTCTTCTTCAATTTACTCATTACTGTTTCGAGGTATTTAAAGAGCTGCTCCTTCAATTGCGTGTCTTAGTGGTGCAAAGTTATGGTCTATTACGGATTACGATCAAAATCGTTCAGATGTGAAGCGGGCTATTTATGCAGAGATGGCCAACGGTCAATAACCATAAAAGTTCTATTCAAGGCAGATTCCGCCATACAATTTGAAGATTTTAATTTTTCACATAGAAAAATTGTATGGATTGAATTGTGCCCATCTCAGCTTAAACCAGAACTTGACCTCTAAACAGATGTGCACGTAAAGCGTGATTTTTACGCCGTGAAATTAATTCCAAAAAATGGAAGTTAATTCAATGTATATTGGGCATTTTTTCTGAAAAATACAATGAGACGCTCGTTATCGGTATGATCAGCTTTAAAATTGTAATGAACTGGTAATGCATAGATCTAAAGTATTTCATTTTGTTCCACTCGTACTTGAATGTCACCTAAGATTAAGCATTTTCTCATTCTTCGTGTGTATCTGTCGAGTAAAAACGGCCGAATTTTATATTTAGCTTAGACGATGAAGTGGCAGTGACGTTGATGTGATTTATCTAGATGCATGCAAGCATTTGAAAATTTATTGGTCGAGACAAAGAGACAGACAGAGAGATTTGTACCAAGCATGGTTGTTGAATGTCATTCAATGCCACTAAGCTGTCGAAATCTCTCTCCGGCTGTACGGCAAACAACAGAACCAACACTGAACATGAAAATGACATGTTCAATTGTGTTTGTTTTATTAGTTTCAACTGTGCCGCTACGAGAGGTCACTTCTGTCGTTTCTTGTTTTTATGTTACATGTAAAATCAATGGTATTAGACGAGGATAGTACCAAGTAAAAGAAACCGAAATAGATGGAACAGCAATTAGAGTATACAAACAATCAATCAATTGGATTCTGTATAATGTGTACTGGTCGTCTTTATCGTTTAAGAACGAGAGCAAGAGAATGAGAGTTTTCTATTGCTCTCTCTCTCTCTCTCTCTCTCTTCATGCTCTGCTCCGCTCTAATCTCTATACAGTCGATTTTATTCATGAGTCACTCTAACCCGCGGAAATTTTTCTGCATGAAAGGAGAATTGCCGAATAACATTAAATACTACTGTGTCCAAAAAGTAAGGTGACATTGCATTTAAAATTTAGCGCGCTGGGGAATTTGAAAAAATCCTTTTATTTTTAGGTTGGTAGGACTATCTTTGACATCCCTGCCAAATTACACGTCAAAATATTCATTAGTGTTTGAGATACGCTTCGTTTTGTGGACTGCTAAAAGTGAATTTCTCGTTTTTTGCGATGTCGAAATTTGTTGATCAAAGAATTTGCATTAAATTTTGTTTGCGGAATCAATTTTCTGCTGCGGATTCGTTGAGGATGGTGCAGAAAGCCTTTGGTGATGAGGCTATGTCGAAAAAAAATGTTTACAAGTGGTATAGTGAGTTCCAAGCAGGCCGTGAATGTGTCGAAGACGAAGAGCGTGCTGGGCGACCATCAACCTCAACCGACGAAGCTCACGTCCAAAAAATTAAAGATTTGGTGTTGGAAAACCGTCGATTAACGATTAGAGACCTTGCTGATGATATTGGCATATCGAAAGGCTCAGTCAATACCATTTTGAAGGATGTTTTGGGCCTCAAACGCGTCAAATCTCGACTGGTACCGAAATCATTGAATTTTTTGGAAAAAAGGTGTCGAGTTGACGTGTGTGAAACAATGCTTTCTGACTACATTGACAAGACGAAATGCATGATCACTAGAGACGAGACTTGGATCTATGCTTACGACCCGGAAACAACCGACCAATCGAGCGAATATCGTGCCAAAGGTGAGCCGAGACCAAAAAAACCGCGCCAAAGTCGCTCAAAAATCAAGGTCATGTTGACTGTTTTCTTCGATTATCGGGGTGTTGTGCATTATGAGTTCCTTCCCCCGGGTCAAACAGTCAACAAGGAATATTATTTGAGTGTTATGCGTCGTTTGCGTAACGCTATCCGCCAAAAGAGGCCGGAATTGTGGAAAGACAACTCTTGGTTTTTGCACCATTATAATGCATCGTCTCACAATGCGATCATTCTTCGTGAACATTTCGCCAAAAACTCGACTCATATCGTTCCACAACCACCGTATTCACCTGATTTGGCACCGTGCGACTTCTGGCTGTTCAACAAGCTCAAAAGACCGCTCCGGGGACACCGTTTTGAGACGATAGAGCAGATTGAAGCCGCAGCGAAGACGGAGCTGAGGGCCATCCCTGAAGTCGACTTTTTCAACTGTTTCGAAGATTGGAAAATCCGTTGGCATAAGTGCATTGTATCGGGAGGGGATTACTTTGAAGGCGATGAAATTGATTTGGAAGAATAAATAAAGAATTTTCAAAATAAATGCAATGTCACCTTACTTTTTGGACACAGTAGTATTCATAGAGCATCAACCACGATATCATTTAAATCATGATTGTTTGATCTGTTTTCGTTGTTCGTCAATTTTTACTCATGATATGTATTACGTAGTCGTAAATTGTAGCGTAAAATATACAAATTGAATTGATTGAGCTGCTCGAAAGAGCAAAAGTGTAGAAGACCGGGAGAAAAGAGAGAGAGAGAGAGGGAGAGAGAAAGAGAAAGAGGGAGTAAGTGGATGTGGGGAATATTGTTAGAATATCGAAAATGGTATGATTTTCGCATGAATTGCGTACCGGATCGTTGTCACCGAAAATATATACACCATGAAACTGGAATATCATGACAATTTTGCAGGTCAAGGGTAACAATAAATTTAACTTATTTTCGATATAGATGCATACAACTGTAAAATCCATTTTTGCATATCATCCATCGCTCCCACCATTCGTTCATTGTTTCTTCTCGTGTTTTCTATTCAATAGTTTGGCGATATGTGCAAAAAAATAATGCGGAACGAATCGGCTAATGCACAATAATTCACAAAGTGGATTACATAGTCCGTTATCAAACGTCAGCCTATTCTTTTTGCATAAAAATAGCAAAACATTCAATTATACGTCAAAATGTTTGGTTGTTAGCTCAGGCCTGATGAGTATATTTTCCCGAATTAAAATGTATTTGTACGAATAAGCTATCAGCAAGTGCACTTGTACACTTGATAATCGCAAAGCTGCTTAATACATAGAGGACATTCTCGAAAAGCCGTTGTTGTCTTTTTTCTCATGTTTATTTTGTAGTAAACAAGAACGTCAAACATATTCGTTGTCGTTTCAAATAGTTAGCTATTGTCGTATCTACAAAAGTGATATACAATTTTGTTTTTCATTTTAATGCAACACTACCTGATAAGCGACTGATATAAGCCTATCGAGGCACTCGAGTGCGTATATTTTGGATGGACAAATATTGTGAACAACACTTGATGTCGAGATTTCTCAATCTTCCTTTATCAAGACAGATTGTCACCCAAAAAATGCGCCGTCCACTAGCCAAACAGAATGATAAAAAATGCTTACCCAGCCCCAGTTGTGAGGACAACAATCAGAGCTGCTATTTTAAAATGCTCGAAAAATGCCATTATATATGTGTAAAACTTACCGAAAAATCTACTGAATCATTTGGAATTGTTTCGGAATACTTTTTCTCTAGCACTTTTTTTCTGTTCGCCACTCCAGGACAGATGCTATCAGTTCAACTATTGAAATACGTGCTATTTTTTCGAAAGGTTTTCTCGATCGTGACATAACTAAAAAGCAATCTGTATTCAGGTTTCGAACCTTTTGAATTGATTTAGTTATTTTCACAAGCATTTTAACAAAAATGAATCAATTTACACGTGAAAAAGCCCAAAAAAATTGCGTGACAATGTATGCACACCTTTTTGCGTCACTGTTTACGGCAACATCGCAACAACAACAAAATGAATCGCTCAACATTATTACTCTCGTTTAATTTGCATTTTCGTCCCACAGCTCTATGTCGTACGGCAATATTATTTTGCTTTTGCTACTGTTGAAGCAGTCTTAATGTCTGATACCATTTTTTTTTTTCAAAAACAGGTTTGGAATATTGAAATTGTTTTTTATAGTATTGGGAAATGTGATTAGATGAAAACCAAGCATATTATGAAAGTAATAATGACAAATCACATTTTGATACTTGATAGGCGTTAACTTTCAGACCGAGTACATGACTTGGTCGGGTTCCTGAATTTTGATGATTAGCGACACGGATAATCTGTAGATGATTACATTGTGATTGTAAATAATTTACTTTCAATACTTTTTAATCTATTAAATTATAAATACAGATAAGAAACAATGACGATATTCCCAAGCTGGGTTAAGAATATTGAAAATGGTTATTTCTTTTTAATATTTGGAACTGTGATAAAAATCGAAAATATTATGGGAATAATAACGGCTAATCACATTTTTAAGATTGATAGACGCTAACACTCGAGACGAGTACATGATTTGGTTGGGTAACTGGGTATCCTTATCTTGACGATTAGCGGCACGGATAATTCATAGATAATAACATTCTGGCTGTAAATAATTCAATTTCAATACTTTTTGATCTATTAAATAATAAAACCAAACAACACAAGTCATGGCTTTCATAATGTATTTCATTGACGTACAACAGTAATTTGGCATCAGTAAAGGGAAAATAAGTGTTATTGAAAATAAGAGTGTCTCTCAAATATGCACAGAATTATCGATTGAATATAAATAACGATGTAAATGAACTGCAACTTTTTCTTTAATAAAAAAAAATCTGCATCTCAACCGTACCCTCGCATGATAATTAGAATTAATTAAAATGCATAACGTTATGTCCATAATGAGTATGGTATCGATATCAGTTTGTCAATAATTAATCAGATATACGAAGCAGCTACCACTGCTGCGACGTAGAATCCAAATGACTGTTGTATTTTGTATATATACATAAAAACCAGTCACAAATTCTACGTGGGCATCAGAGCCGTGCATAAGGAGACCTCTTTCGTTCTAATTCTCATAAGCTTTAAAGTAGCTTAAAGTCAACCAGTAACTCACAGTTACAATCAAATATGCCATCTATGTAGAAGCTTTTTCATCTTCCTCAAACGATTTCATAAACAAGAAAATGTTTGAATTTGATTTTTGATCAACGATAACCGAATTTAAAATAAAATCAGTTATCGAATGATGACTGAACATTCACTCGTTCATGGGTATTTTTCATTAAAAATTATCCTTTTAGTTTTTTATTTTATTTCTTTAATTTTCTTAATCATTTTATTGATTATCATTTATTATCAATTTGGAGTTTGTTCTGAATTGGAATAGCTTTGGCTATCATGTTCTGATCAAAATTGATATCTCTGCCGAAAATGCTATCCCAAAAATGATCACTAGAAATAAATTAATTCAATCAGAAAATAATTTATTTTATGTAAATGAGTGTTATTAAAATTTGACTATGAACAAGTTCATGCATCAAATCTTCCCACATTTCGGATTAACGATGCCTTACGAGACGCTATTCTAAAAGAAAAAAAAACGACGCAGTTTTAAATACTGCCTTTGATGTTGCAACGGCTCCCGACGATGGTTTGGCATGAACATGGCAAGAGCTAGACTCTAAATCATCCATACGTTTTAAATGAAAATACTGAGGAAAACATTTGACAAGAAACAATTGTTTTGTGCTGCAATGTTCGTTGAGTTTTTTTTTAGATTTGATCAATCATCCACAACACATAGGGAACAATTAGACACATCCCGATAGCGAAACGGGTATCCATTTTGAAAATGAAGGACTATAACGAAATAATAGATGTGCTAACATTCGGAAAGACGTAAATACTCTGTTGAATTCTTGTAATGATTTTGAAATGACCTCACGGGAAGAAAAATGTTTTTGTCTATTTTGAAAAGTTAATTTACTTTGATCACCAAAGAAATGCAAACCATGAAATTTAGAGAGAAAAAAAATTACCTGTCTCAATTGTTATGTAAAAAACACCTTCTTTTCATTTGAAACTTGATGGCACACCTTATTATTAGTCATTTTAAATAGTGTTGATATTTTGTTAAATTTTTATTGCACCTCATTAAGTGCTACGATTCCATTTTGTTTCACATTCTTTTACCGCTTTGAACTTGTCAGTATTTGCACTCTTCATTCATTTGCACTCTTTTTTTCCTTTGTACATTGTTGACATTTTCTGAGTATTCGGACAATTTTCAGCAATTATTTTATGATGTCAAAACAAAGCACAGAACTCAAACAAAAAATAATGACAGTAAAATATCTTGCCTTTTTCAATAAAAAATATATTTCATGCAAAATGCTTTCCTGTTTGTTTCCTCATCACCTAAAACAACATGGACTTTTGACTAAACCATCTACCTACCCAAAATAAGTTTCCTTCCTTGTGCACTGCAGCAAATTGGTTGAGGTTAGTTTTAACTCAGCTCTCAAAGCATAAACAGTCAAATCGACCGATTGCAAATCAAAATTTCATCTGTTTTTCGTTATATGAAAATATAAAACATATTTCGAACAGTCAATACTAGAGTTGAACACATAAAAATTGACCATGAATAAAGTGTCATTGGTGTGTTTTGCATTGTTAAGCATCACCAATTCGTGTGTGCAGTCTGCACCATCAAAAAATGAGTTTGGTTCTGACTTTGAGAAGCAAAGCAACAGCTTTGCAGTGATTTACAACAATGTTTTTAAAAGTAAGCATTCCAACCAACCCACATTCCAACCTATGTGTGTATTCCACTTTTTAATACTATTTTTGGGATCTCTTTCAGAATATAATATTCAATTTTGTCCAAAAATTTACGCACCTACATCAACCCGTCACGTTATCGACTTCGCATCGCAGTTTATTATTTATGATGAGAATACCACAGATATACTGGAGACGTGTTGTAAGTCAAATTTTCAATGTGGCGAACAAAAAAGACGCGAACTCAATAGCACTCTGATTGAAAAAAATATACGGCACTGTGAATGTGAAAATGAGTTCCGCCAATGTTTACAAAAGTCGGATTCACGCTCAGTTGAGAGATGGGGCGATTATTACTTTAGACATACGACAAAATGCTATACGATGAATCACCCAATTATTAAATGTGACGAATTTGAATACTTTTATCAACCAAAGACAAACAACATCCAAGTGGACAAGTGAGCGGAGCCGTTCGATGCGTGGAATATAAATTGGATGAGAGCAAGCCAAAAATCTATCAAACATTCGAACTACCATTTTATTACGGTGCCTATGATTCGAATGATTTCAAATTGCTGGGAGACATAGAACATGCATTTACAAATGGTTCAACCATTCAAAAGAAACTATTCGTTAATTTTGGTCTTTTATCATATCCACTCAATTAACGTTTATTGCAAATTTACACTAGATTTTATTCGATTACTATTCTCTTCAATTAAATGTTTAAATTAAAAGAAAACATGTTTCATGTAATAAAGTTTCAAAGTGAAAATAATTTCAAACGCATCCATTTGTATGGTATTTTGTTTTTTTCATCAATGAATATTTTTTCAAACTTATGCATATATACTAATCGTCTGTTTGCTTGAATATAAAAAAATTAAATTCAATCATTTCGAATAATTGAACGATATTTTCGTGATGGATAACCTTTTGCTTTGATATTTTTAATCGCATAAATTGATCCGCTTCCTTCTGAATTATCCAGGTAAAGTTTACCCGTAGACAGTTCGAATGGAACCCGTTGTGTGGCCACAAATAATGTATCCCAATGGGGTCCACCAAATGTAATCAATGATACACCCTTAACGGGTAAATAAAATTCTTTCACCTTTTTCGATGTTCTGAAATTATAGAATTGATTTGCATTACAAATGTCATCGATTTTTCTAAGAGCGTGTTATGCAAATTTGACTTGGAAACCAGTGCCGGTATTCTAACACCATTCCGAACAATTTGTTCGGAATTATTACGAGCGATCAATTGTATTTTGGAATGTGGTATCCAAACGTTATATATGGATTTGTCTCTTTTTCATTGATTGAACGTTTGGTTTCCACCTTCCAAAATACAATTGATCGCTCGGAATAATTCCGAACAAATTGTTCGGAATGGTGTTAGAATACCGGCACAGAGAGTAATATGATTTTTGTACTGCAAATGCGTTAAAACAATGCAACGCATACTCGTCAACAGCTGAGCTCAGCAACTGACATCAGTTAGTGCTGCTGACATCAGCTCATAACACGCTTTGATTTTTCTGTTCAATTCTTTGAAAATCTTTCTACCTTGGATCTACTTTTACAACTTTTCCGCCCGAATAGTAAGCTATATACAAACACCCGTCTCGATCGATTGTCATGCCGTGCGGCATCACCAAATCACTCTCTGGATTTTCAAGTGTATACACAATGCGTTCATCATCTAAAACAACATGCAATAAATGAATTTTCGTTAAGAAAAACTGCTTTCAAATTCAAATAAAAATAGAGAAAAATAAATTCAAATCGATATTTACAAATATTTCCGGTTTTCGGATCCCATTTAAACTGTCGAATGACACGACCGCAAGTATCACATAGGTATAAATATTTATTTTTCACATCCCAATCGAATGCACCAGAAACTCGGAGGTGTTTATAAATTGGCCTGGTATAGTGATAAAATGCTGCATTACGTGTACCCGGTGATTTTGAGCACATATTCACACGGAATGATCCACCATAAAATTCATAATTCGGAGACATTTTACCATAGTCCCAACCAGTTACTGGATTGTTTTGTGCCGGTTGCACAGTAAATTCATCTTGATCAAATTTCGCTATCTTCTCCTTTCCGTTCCATTCAATTATGGCCACAGTAAAATTATAGCAAATCGCGAATTTGTTTTTTTCACCTTGCACTGGAATGATGAATGATGTGATTATATTATCTTCTATGGTTGCTCTGTAGGTTCGTTTTTTATGGAAATCAAATCGAAGAATTTGACGAGCGGCATAATCGGTGAAATAGAGGCTGTGTGTTGCAGCATCATAGTGCATATAATACGGTTGCGGCCATTGTTCGTCTGAGATGAGAGTCAATTCGTACCCATCACAATGGCAAATCTACAATTTTAGAAGAAAAAAATATAAGAGAAAATGATAAAATGGTCTTTGAAAAATGTTGATTCTATTGAGTGTACTTACAACAAAACAGCTGAGAATCACACAAATTGTGAACATTTTCAAGAAGAGCTGAAACATCGATTTATCGACTCCTCGACTTCTAGATGAATATTCTTAATGAACAATTGACGACTGAGAGTGGCGTATATACTTTTCTTTGCAAAATAAGATTGAAAACAGTGATGTTGGGAAATCCAATACGGCACGTGCCTCTGTACAGAGCATATTTGCCGCGTAGTAATAAATTTATGATTTTAAAATCGCATCACAGTTGTTATAAACAAGGTGCGAATGGGGCAATCTACATACATTTCATTTCAGATTTAGTTCAGACAGTAACATTTTATTTACAATGTGTGATATCAATAAGTCCGTGCTGTTTATATCAACTCAACGTCGATTTCATTTTCAGTATTAAAAATAGTACATTTCTTAACAGGCTTTAAGTCATATAGCATCACCGTTTACAAGCTTAATTTACACAAAAAATCGAATTTCTCATGCTGAATCATAAATCCGATGATTTTTAATTAAATTTTACATTACTTTATTGTTGAAAATCTTTAAAATGTACATGATTTGTTCCTAAATGCGATTTGTTCGTAAATAATCTTTATCGTCTTTGTCGAGATGTGTTTCAAAGAATTCTTCGACCGTGTCGGTATTCCATTTGGTGATTGACAGAGTTTCAACGACATTATCGTGGTCGTCAAGCAGTTTGACAATTGGATCGGCGCCGCGCATATATTTGATGACCAAATTTGGGAATTTAGCTGGTCGATCACTTTTGATGAAGGCTTGAATTTGTGGATATGCACCGAATTTGCACGTGCACACTTCTAAAATTGCTTTTGGGAACCGCTTTGATACCGATGACACATCATCTTTCTCACAACATTCATGGCAATGCTCTCTGAATGGTGGAACAACCAACATATTAATAAGAGATGAAAAGAACATTAGGAGCAACACACTTACTTCAATTCACTTAATCCAAATGTTTCCAATTTATCACAAGACGAACACATCAAATGTGGCTTGATGAAACCCAATTCACGACAATCTTGTGTACTGAAATCGGCATTTGTTGTCTAATCAATGAACAGTGAAGCAAACAAACGTTTTATAACTTATGCATTTTTGAATTAATTTTGATTGATTGATTATTACTTACGGCTACGAGTATAGCTCCAACACAGATAAATAATAATATTTTCATTTGTTCTTCCATTTTTTTTCTCGGCAGAGATTTTGTTGTTCGTTTCTTATTTGCTAACTATTTCTACTACTATTGACACGACAATCAAATACATGACATGACAATCACAGCATTACTGTGATTAGTTGCCACATTTTACCGAAAGATGTCATCACTAGCAACGGATTCGGTTTGAGATCATGTATTTTATAGGTTTTATTGAATAATAAAGAGAATCAATTATGAAAATTCAAACGAACTTCTCTATCGTTTCTAAAAAAAATTCTTTCTATTTAGATTTGAAAGCTAAAAAATTGGAGAAAAAATTAGAAAAAAAAAACTCTTCGACTTTCGTCGAACTCGTAAGTTTGCTAATAGGTAGCAAATTGGAATATATCTGTTTTGAATGTTAGATTGTGAATTGGAAAATGACTCATGTTGTGATAAAAAATAATAAAATTAATAATTCAGGTGGGCAAACCACAGCACACTATCGAAGCATAATGACTGGAAAACAAAAGAATTTGTCACATGACTTTGAAATTAATTAGCGTATTAAATCTAATTGGCGTTATATTCCAAATAAACAATATTGATGGGCGCTCGAAAGTCGGAAGATTTTTGGCGCTCATCACAGAATGGAACCGGCTTCATTTTTTTTTCTTCTTCAGTTTGTATCGTTAATGTAAATAAACAGATGTTGAGTCACTTTGGATTTTATTGTTTATATTGACTCAACATTCCCACACTGGCGCGTCGCTAAATAATTGTTGTATTTAAACACAATTAGGAAGATGAAGAGCAAACGCTAGAATGGAATGAAGAATGTCGTGTAATTGAACGAGTTGAAGAAAGCATTCTATATTTTTCATTGTTTTTGGAAACTTTCAAAATGCTAATATCATTTATATCCCTTTCCCAAACCAAACTCCCGACGATTCGACGATCACACCTGCAAAAAAAGTTTTCTTATTTTTTCCATAATGAAAACATTCTTTTGCCTGATGTTGTCACTTTCCATTTTGTTGATATCATTTACAAAACGGTGTGAACGGGTGAGGAGTAAAGGAAAAATTTGAATATTGATCAAAATGACGTCGTGTTTTTGCGTGTTTACATACATCCAAAGTGTTTTTTTTTGTTTTTGATATTTGCTTGATTATCATTTCAATTATCATGTGGTTTTGAAGGTGCAAATTTGTATCTAAAAAGGATAACAATCTCCCATTCCCACCTTCTCTATTCTTGGCATTTTTTTTTCGGCAAGAAGAACGCAAATTCGGAAATATATAAACCGATGCTGCTACTTTTGTAATCAGTTCAAAGACTTACCATTCCGTGATTACTTCTTTGAAAGACTTTTATTTTGTGTGTAAAAATGTTGAAGTTGGTAAGCAAATTTGAATAATTTTCTGATTTTTTCTGGGTAGAATTCAATTTTGAAATATTACTGGGATTTTAATTGAATTCATTTTTAGCTTTTCATTGCGACATTAATTGTGTATGCGGTATCAATTCCGCTGGACGATAATTCAAATCCACCAAAGGATGATTCAAAAGATTTGACGGACTTTAGCTCGGATGGAACTGATGACCACAAATTTAGCAAACGCAACAGTCTTGCTGGCGCAGCACATGCTTTGGCTGTGAAATCCGAAGCAACAGATGATGAGAATTCGAAAAAACCGAAACGTGACGTCGATACTGACACAGATCCCGATCTAAAAATCGACGAGCCTAGCAAAAGCGATAGGAAAGTTCGTGATGTTTCAAAAGAGAAATCACCTCCGAAACCAGAGCGTGAAAGTCGAGATACTACAAATCAAAAGGAGCCGCCCAAGACAAATCCACATCGTGTTGCTCGTGATATAATAAAAGATAAAAAACCAAAACGTGAAGCACTAGACACACCCGACTCAAGTAAACCAATTCCACAGCCACCAAAATCAGCTCCAAATCACAAACGGGACACTGGTGGAGACGATCCAAAAAAGCACATCGACGATGACGATGATGACCATAAACGTCTATCTCGCTCCGCCGAACAAAAAGACAAAACTCCTGACCACAAACCCAAACGAGACACCAATGAAGACGATGGAACCAATCATATTGACAAAAACGATAGCAAAACTCAACGGAAAGTTCGCTCAGCGGATGAAAAAAAGAAAACACCCGAGTCAAAAACCAAACGTGATACGGGAAGAGATGATCCAAAAAAGCATTTCGACAACGATGACGACGACAATGATGATCATAAGCGCGTATCTCGTGCAGCAGCTGAAGACAAAGATAAAAGGCCTAAGCGTGAAACAACGGAGCCGAAGCCGGATTCAAAAGACGCAAGGAAAATACCTTTGTGGTGAATCTAATTCAAAGGGAAAGCATTAAATCACAACGGCAACGGAATACTATTCAGAGAAAACAAATCCTCTCAAATGCTAATATACAGTAGTTTTTAGTGATAAAATTGTTATTTCGATCGAGCTATACATACATATGATGGAATAAAATCGGTCACATTTGCAACAGAATCGTGTGCCTTTTTTTTCATATGGTGTGATTGAGTGCAGTGAGAGAATAGTTGCAATACACTTGAAATTAGGGCTCGGTCTCCTGCCATATCGTATACATGACAGTCAAAGCTGTGTGCACGTGTATGTGTTCGCCCTACTGTCACATATCGTATTCCAGCTGTCAACGTTTTGCCTGACAGCAACTCAAATGAAAACGAGAAATTCCAATTTCATATTTGTTTTAAATAATCATAGGTTCTGTTTTCTCTGCAGTTTTAAATCTGGCAATGGTTTTGTCTGGTTATCCTTCAAAAGAATTTTCGTATGAATTATCAGTCATTATTGGTCATCCGGTATAAGGCATCAACTTAGGCCGTGTACACGAGTTTCAATTTCGAGTCATTTAAGAGGTGAATTGAAAGAGTGCATTTTATTATTGTTGCAATGTTTCTTGTGATTTATTTTTGAAACCCAAACAACAAAAACACACAAACATATCCAATACATCTGCTATAGATCTTAATTCTCATGCTTTAAATGGCAATAAACTACCAAATTGAGTTGTGTCGCACGCGACCACAGAAAATTGCGGTCGCTCTTGAATACATGCAAAAAGCGTATGAATAATGACAAAAACAAAAACGACAATATGCAAAACACCACTCATTTGAGCAATACACAGCTGCGGATTCCCATTGAATTAACAGCAACCGAAGAGAAGAGAGAGAGAATAAAAAAAACACACTTAGTCCACACGGACAACAGCTAATATTAGACAAGTAAACAACACATAGAAATAAACAACTAAACAAAAACCACACTTGTCTCCTCCTTAGAGTTGTAATAACAGAAGAAGAAAAAACACTACGGCATCGAACATGACTATGAGTTAACATTGAAACGAAACGACTTTAATTCACTTCGATTCGTCAGTTCGAACAGATCAGATTTATCATTTTTTACGCTATTTACTTCACTTTGTTATCAGTGAAGCGAGAAGAAAAAAACATTCCATAATCGCTGATTTCGCTCCATGTTCTACGGTTTTTGTTGCTTCATGTTTAATCTTGACACGAGATTCGTCGCAAATTGATTAATATTGTTGCATTGCATTGGGTGCATTGAACACATAAACGTATACCTGCCTCCAAAAATTGTGTGTACTCAAAGCAATAAAAAGAATAAAATACCAAATTCATTGATTACTGAAAATTGTATTCGTGTGTAAATTCCAATATAGAATGTGTTCTGATCAAAATCATATAACCGGATCAATTTCAAATCATCTTGAAAATGGTCAAAATGATCCGATTTGCGTTGCAGTTACTATCGATATCAATGACATTTCCGACGGTGCATTGAAAGTGTTAAAACAAATTAAACCATTTTGGCCAATAAACAATGTTCAATTCAAGGTACGATCCAAGTATGTGTCCATTCTTTGTTATTCGTTTCGTTCATACAACAATCTAGTTTTTGGTGTATTTACCGTTTTGTTATGAATTGATCCACTCGATTCAATTCACGATATTAGAATTTGTACATTTAATATAATTTTTTTTTGTTTTAAGATGATAGTGAATCGCTTGCACTTTTTTCGCTCCAAAATATGTCATTGTTTTTTATCCCATCTGTTTTTTATTCAGTTTTGCTTCATCATTTTTTTTCTTCTATCACGTGTTTTGTATGTACAGCTAAAAGTGTATTTGAGTGTGTTATATTATCATAGCGATTCATATTTTATTCGCTTGTGAATTCTTATTTCGTGTTAGTCTGGAATTGAAGGCTTATTAATTTTATTTGAATGACTGCTGCTTTTGTTCGTGTTTGTTATCTTCGCGTTTTATTTTCCACTACAACAAGAGTTGGTAGACCTAATAAAATATTTAGCTTACTATCGATGTGATTTGATAATTTTTTACTTCAGTACAAAGGTAAATTAAACGAATTAGAATTGATACATATTTTTATAAGTACCTACAAAAAAGGCAAAGTAAAATGCACGCAAAGATAGAAAAAAAACATCAGTCTAACTAAGTGAAAATATTATCTGAAAGAAGTTGAAACTTTTTTCGCACGATTTTTTTTTCGCCTCGTTCCAACGCATGGATTTACATTTTTGTCAAACCGTTTTTTCTTTCATTCTGCTCATTCAGTTCACCTAGAATAAATAAAATAAATTAACGCTACGGAAGAACCTTCACAAGTTTTTTCGTTATGGTCTACGATTTTGTATGATTGAACTTTGCTACATTTCAACTGAATCATTCTTCTCTCGCTACAGATTTTTACAAACGGCACAACAAACAAACTTATTGGCTGTTGCATCCCAAAGCACAATAATAACGACGAAATTCCGCTCGGAGGTGAGGATAACTTAAATCGCTATGAAGTGATTTTAATCCGTATTTACGGCAAAAATACGGAAGTATTAATTGATCGGCAGAAGGAGGTAGAAAATTTTAAGTCATTACATAGATATGGTTTTGCACCAAAATTACTGGCAACATTCAACAATGGTCTGGCCTATGAATATACCGATGGAAAACCGTTGAGCAAATCCGATGTTTATGATGAGCAAATATGGCGGAAAATTGCACAGCGAATGGCCGAAATGCACAGGGATATCGATTGCGTACCGCTGAATGAACCGGTGCTTTGGAAGAAGATCAATAAATTTTTCGACCTAATTCCCACCAAATATTCCAATCCAGTCACACAACAAAGGTATACCATTGATATATTGTATCATAATAAATAAATAATCGTATGCCTTTGATGAATTGTTTGTTGTCTTTTATCTCACAGACGAGAAGAGCTGCTGCCACCCATTCATGAAATTCGAGCCGAATTCAATCGATTGTATGCGGTCGTAAGTAAAATTAAGAGCCCAGTTGTATTTGCTCATAATGATTTGTTGCTAGGGAACATTTTGTACGATACATCGGCCGAAATAGTCACATTCATCGACTATGAGTATGCGGATTACAATTTTCAAGCATTTGAGATTGGTAATCATTTCACCGAATTTGCCGGTATGCACTGTTTTGTATCTCACCCAGTTCAATTTGAATCATGCAATTCTTTTGACAAATAAACGTCTCATTTTCTGATGATTTTCCAAAGGTATGACCGATATTGACTACACTCTTTACCCGCCAAAAGAGTACCAATTGGATTGGCTTCGTGAGTATCTGACACACTACCATAAGCACGATTCAAGCGTTGTCACCGACGAGTATGTCCATCAACTGTACGCCGATGTCAACAAATTCGCTTTGGTTGCACACTTTTTCTGGTTGATTTGGGGCCATATACAAGCTGAACACTCAGAAATTGACTACGATTTCTTAGAGTAAGTTTCATCCCATTTTGACTATGGACAGCTTTTTCTATTGTTATTAAACTCAAAGTGTTTGACTCAAGATGTTGAATATGTTATCATACACCATCATTTTGTCTTTTTTCCATGAAGAATAATTGAATTTAATTTGGTTTTTGCTTTCAGATTCGCCAGCCTAAGATATAATGAGTATTTAGCAAAACGAGATGCATTTTTGTCCTTATGATTTCGTCCGTATTTTCTATTTACGTCAACACATTGTGGACTAGCTGGAATGGCAGCAGATTTGAACCCGTGAGCATAAAAACGACTTATTAAATAATCGCCGAACAAAACGTACCACAGCGGTAATGTGTAGCACAGCGGAGTTTCGTTTTGAACGGTACCGTCCTGCTGTGTTATGTTTTTAACGTGTGTTTTGTTTGGTAGTTTTTTCTTGTATCGTTTTGTTCGGCGATTGTTTAATAAGTCGTTTTTATGCTCACGGGTTCATTTTACTTATTGTTTTCCCAAAATAATACAAATCACGGGCTAAGAGCTCAGGTGCCAATGAAAAAAGTCATTAGAAGTTTAAAAGGTCCATTCAATGAGTTGGCCCAAACGCTTACCTTTCCATTCACACTAGCAATAGTCGGCATGTAAAATAAATTGCAATAATGTTATTTTTTGGCTAAAATGAAAATTTTTGAATATAAAGTGTTTTAAACTAAGAGTATTTTAGCGTTTTTTTTCTTCTCGGAATCATTTTCACTCCATTTTTATCAAAAATATCATCCAAACTGATATACTTTTTCGAGAATGAAATAAATAAATCTACAAATTGTATATTTTTTTAAATTACAATTTTAAAAAGTCTAGAAAAAAAATATTCCTTGTACTGAGAAAAATGAAATTAAATGAATGCGAAAAATTCGAGTTGAATTGAATCATTTGTGGTAAAATTTATCGCTGTAAATAAATTTAATAGAAAAAAACAATGGAAATTTACTAGAGGAATTGAAAATCGTCAAAATAAGACCAAAACGTTTGATATTTTCCCAATGTTTATTTGAATTTCCAGGAAAACAAATTATTATTCTACATAAATCATTGCAGGGGTTTGTTCTGCCGTGGCTTTGTATCGAAAGTGGGTTTCTTGAATGATTTATGTTTTGGCACAACATTCAAAACTATCGACACATTCGAATTATACAGTTCAATAATGTTCGATGCAACTACTTCCGAAATTTGTTTGAGACGTTTGATATCAAAGCCGCTAATCACTTTTTCGATGCGTTCATTCTTCGCATGTATATTAACATAAGCATTAATACGGTTTTTCTCAACTTCAAATAATTCCATTTCGCATTGCAGATGGTATGGGATCTCTTGTGGTAGGAAATCCAATAAAGCGGCTCGAACATTGTTGATAATAAGATCTTCAGCTCGTTGATCGGTGAATTGGTACTCTGGATATTCCCATGGTTTTTCACGTGACTGTTCGGAAATATAGTTGGCAACCCGTTTAACTCCATCACCGCTGAGAGCGGACACCATAAACACTTCGGAGAAATATGCCCAACCAGCTGATTTGACGTTCTTGTATTTGACCGGTCGCTTCATATCGGCTAAAAACTTCTCTTCGCGTCCTTTCCACGGTAAATATTCGCGTTGTTTGCACGTCAATGTTCCCTCTGTCAGAATTCGTACCAAATCGAGTAGAATGCGTTTCGCTCGTATCATATCAATTTTGTTCATAATTAGAATGCTTGGCACGGTTTTGTTGGTGACAAGCGCTTCCAAAATGGTTGGATGCAATACATTTCTCGTATACGAATTGGAAACATCATGAATGACAGCGATTAAATCGGCATTTTCGATGGAACTGTTACATGCCCGTATATACTCATCATTCAATTTATATTTTTTGTTTTCGTTGACGGTGGTCAAGCCGGGCGTATCGAAGAGGATCATTTGTGTGTTTGCTTTGTTATAAATGTTGGCCGATCGGGTCAATGTTGTGTGGACTTTTCGCGATGTTGGGCATATCCGATGGTTGGTGATTGTATTGATGAATGAACTTTTGCCGGCATTTGGTGCTCCAATGATTGCCACTTTGATGGTTTTCTCTTTTGCAGCGTCATTGCTGTTCTTGTTAAAAACACTTTGTTTTTCCACCGAATATAACCTTCGAATGAATATTGTACACTGGTTGAATTGGCTGCTCAGCACCTTCAGCGAACGTTTATTCAATATTAGTAAACCTTCCATTTTTCTCTGCTTATTCATCTAAATCACTAATTGTACATTATTTCCTTTTGAATTTCACAACTTTTTCGAAAAATGAACATGTATTTTCACGCAAACCACATCTCCGCAGTGACAGTATTATATCAGCATGGCACACAAATTGTCGGTTTGACGTTTCGCTAAATTTCACATGTTGAACTGTCAAAACGAGTCAAACGCAAAGTATGTGAGTAAAACATGTGATAAATGCAAGAGTTATTTCCAAACAATCCCAATATCCAATAGCACCGATGAAAACAAAGAGAAAATAATTAAAATCACAAATTTAATTGAGTTTTCTAGTGCAAATTTCACTTTTTCCAAGCTTGGCAATTGGTGTTGCTCTAGATTCGATTCGAATATTGTTGTCGTGCGAGCGAGATGGATATAGGTGCGGTTGTGTATAGAAACGACCGAGACGTCACGTTCGAATGTCAAATATGTAGAGTGATTATTGAAAATAATAAACGAAAGGTTCACTCAAACGATCCGATACATATTGATACCATTTTGGTTTGATTCTGCATAGTAATTCGCATTAAATCACACTCTCTTCATCCATTGTAAATATTATTTATTCATTTTTTGTGTGCGATACAGTTGGGCATTCATTAATTTGAACGAAATTTCGAATAGAAATTAACAAAACACAAAAGATCAAGACAACACAGTAGCAGCAGCAGCAGCAGTAGCAGCAATGGCAACTAACGAAGAAAGCGTTGTGGATAATATGAAACATTGTTATGAGAATTTGATTTTAATTGATGTTGGTGCAAATTTAACAAATAAAAAATATAGCCGTGATCTTGACGCAGTTGTACAAAGAGCACAAGATTCAGGTCAGTTGCATTTATATTCAGTGGAAATTTTTGTTTCGTTATTTTGACAAAGAGAGAATTGAATGTGTCCGACTTTGATTAAGAGACAATTATCAATCGAAACCGTTTTGATAACGAATATTGAAATGAAGTAAAAGGTTTGATGTCATCAGTGACAACTCACACACGAATTTCATTTGATTGATGATGGTCGAGCTCCGATCTACGACGATACGATCATTTTTGAATGTTTGCAGAGATTCATCAGTTGGCTAAAAATAGACATATTTTATTAAATATCTAAGTATATGAATCAGACAAACAAATTCGTCTGGCTCATTTGTTATCGAGAACGAATTTATGAAGCTGACGACGAATTTGGTTG